AATTTTTTCTTTTAACAGCTTATAAGAACATTTAATATGATACATGTCTGTTGTGTGTGGAGAAGCCATCAGCACTTCTGCAGATATGCGAAACCATAAACTAATCAACACAAGTTAAGAAAAGTGTGGACAAGACTTTACCTTTATGGATTTTTTTTAATAAACAAAACAGTTTTGTTTGGAATAGACTTTTGAGATTAGTTTAAAGAATCGGTGTGATTACAGTACTCTCTCTCTTTCCTTTTTTACCATTTAATGACTGCAGGTGGTTGTCACCCATTTCATACATGGGCTAATATGTTTTAATTATTATTTTTCTCATTACAGAAAGCCTAAAACTAGAAGGGCAAAACGTTTTCTTGAGAAGAGAGAGCCAAAGCTCACTGAAAATACGAAAAATGCTATGCTCATAAAAGGTGGAAATGCAAACTTAACTGTGACTGGAGTGCTTAAAGACATTGTAAGTATGTTTGGATGTATGTTTACAGTGTAGAGCTAGAACTTATTCCAGGTCACCAAGAATATTTTTCTATGCTTTTATTTTATTTTATTTTTTTTTACAGTAACTTGTGTGTTACCTGTTGCATGATTGGTGTGGTGGAATGCAAAACTTTTTAACTCATGGGCCAAGCCCCAAATAACTAGGGCCCCCCCCCCCCCTTTTTTTTTTGGCCTGTCTTCTCATTCTTTCACACTCCCATTCCACCTCTCTTCTTTAGCATGACAATTAGTATTGTCAAGCTGCCCAGATCAGAGGAATAAGGTATCTTTGGCCACTACTGCAGAATTAATATTGCATTACAAAGATTTTTATATAAAAGCTGTTTGGTATGGAGCTTTCAGCTTCTAATGGACTAATATTATGCTCTTGAAGCCCATATCTACCTGTACTCCAGCCTGTCAGTTATGTATCCCCCAGTTCTCCCACTGATTCTCCTTTCCCATTTTTTGGGAGGTGGGTTATATTTCCAGGGCATCCACCTCCCTTTCCTGTTTCCCTTTGCTTGGCATTGCAGGGCTGGAGATAAGGAAGGAGCAGAGAGGAACCAACCCATTTCAAACAGGGTGGAAAGGTAGAAGTGGGATTGTTCTGACAGTCACTGGGCCCTTTTTACACCTTGCATCCTGCTTGTGAGAGTGATGTTGGTTACTCCTTCTCCCCAATGTGAAAACATCTTGCAGCTCCAGAAGGGAAGGGAAGAGATCCCTTTCTGCAGCACCTCCTGTACAAGAGCGGGCAAATGGAGGGAGTTTGTTCCTAGAGTCCCTCAGTCTCCACCACCACAAAAGGGAGCAGGAATGGTATTTATGTAAGGTCTGGTACTTATCAGAGTGCTGGTTGCCACAGGGGCCAAGATCACATTGCTTGCCAATTGCAGCCATGTATGTGGGTCCATGATGCTGTGTGTCTTTGAGGGAAGAAAAGTAAAATTGACCATTGCTGTGGAAAATGGCATATCATGAGCATGAATGGTTAACTTGCAGGTGTTTTGCAGTAGTTGGACAGTGCCTTGTAGGCTTCTTTCAAAAGCCAGCAACCAAACAGGTTAAAATATATATATGTAATGAGTCTTAATTAACACGTGTCACCGCTATATGCATTTTTAAATGAAACCTTTTAAATAATTATTTTTGTGATAAAGTCTGACTTGGTGATAACGCATTTAATTTGCCAGAGTTAATACTATCAAACACCAAAAGTACTGTGAATACATATAAGGACTAAAGTAGGCTTGCAACCCTCCAGTAATGTAAGGAAGTATTGGCCTCTTATTTTCGGATCATTTGGGCTTAAAGTATTTATTGTATGTATTTGCTTTTGTCTATGTGTTTACTGTTATTTTGAAGTTTTAATGATATTCTCCATTTCCATGATGCCTTTCATTCTGGGGCCTCCAAGCTGTTTTATTTTCCTACCTATTAGTAGGAGTAGTGGGCTGAGGTTTTATTTTGCTTTAACAGAAAGAAAACAGGTGTAGAGAGAGATGATAAGCTTTGTCAGAGTTTACTATCATTGTTCATATTGCAGTGGGACTTAGGAGTCACTTTACTGATCAGGGTTCCATTGTGTTTGCAACTGTTTTGTATAGTTAGAATCCAGTTTCATCTCGTGCTTTAACTCCCAGGAAAGATTTCCACCCCCCTCCCTGCCTCCCATTAAAAGCCTGGTGCAGTTTGCCTTATAATTTAAACTGGTGAATCTCCTAATGCTGGAATAGGAAGTAGTGGTGTTCTGTTTCTTGGTTCTGGTGTTTTACTTATTTATGTCTATATATCTCTACCTTCCTTAAAGTAGAGACACTAGTCTTGGTTTCCATTATCTTGTCTTTTTGTGGGCCTCACTACTCATCTGATTTCTTTCTGGGCTATATTGTATGTGAGCACTTTTGTGTTTCATTTGGAAGCTATTCACTTCTCTTTTGATGCCATTTTCGTGTAGAATTGTAGAGGAAAATGGTTATTATATTCCTGCATTAAAAAGGCTGTCTTGTAAAGTTCTGTCTTGCAAAAAATTTTTTTTTAATTTTACAGTATGCCCTGAAAAAGCCCTTTGCTGTCCTATATAAAAAGTAAGTAATGTTTTTAAATCGCTTGATAATATGGCACTTAATATATTCATAGAGAGAAGTATTTTATGAGCCAACAAATCACATTTAAAAAGATCAGGCTGTGTAATAATACAAAGGGTGATAGTGAAGGACTGAGAAGGACCATGCATATGCTAGCTTCTGTGGTGAGTCCAGTGCTTTTTATCAAAAACTTGGCAAAAGCAGGATGTAACTGATCAGCTCCACACTTAGTCTGGGCTCTGCAAAGAGCCGACAAAATAGTTCAGAATTCAACTTAATGCGGATCCTTAACAAATTGGATATTCAACGTTTATTAAAGATAAGTTGCAAAACATCTTGGTAGGAAATACAGTTTATAATAAAAAGTATATATCATGAAATACAACATTTTTTTTTTTCAAATTAGATCTGTTTATATAAGATAAGGAGCTTGGTGCAACAGCTCATGAAAATTAAGTATACTGAACATAGTATGGCTGAAAAAGCAAAGGCATCTCTTTCTGGAGAACTGCCTACATGGTGGTTTGAGATTCAGGTGCTGTGATAAAGAGGAAAACAAGAGGAAATGACAAAGAACTTTTGACTTGAGAAAAACTAAAGAAAAACTAACAGAATGGCTGGTTTTGCACCTAAAATGGAACTGTACTTCTAAAGCTGAAATCATCCCAGCAGAGAGCAGGAACCCAAGTATTATCATGGTGGCTAGTGTGAAATCACAAAGGAAGAAGAAAACCTTCTTTTTTTCTTCTCCCCCTTCTTTTTTTCAGAAAAAATATTACCAGACCTTTTGAGGATCAGACATCATTGGTGAGTATAAATCTTTTTATTCAGCTTGCTCTGGAACAAGGCAGGTTACACACAGAATAACATCATTCATGAGACTACTATCCCTTTACCGCTCTTCCAGGTTCAATGAAGATGTACCCCAGATACTAGGTTTTAGGGGAATTATTATATAATTTTGAACATGTTCAGTATCTAATTCTACATCCTAATATACTGTTGTAGGGTTTTTATTAGCAGGATACCATTTTCTAGTAACAGGTTTGTTGGCTTAAAGGGAGAACCTTTAAGGTTTTTTTTTTGAGGTAGTAAAAATTTAGGGTGCTCTTAAAGTCAGTGCATTCATAGACATGTTATGAAACTAACAAAACACTTGGAATTATTTAGTGTTTTATAACTGATGGAGAGTGGTGTGAAGGTGTGGACAATGATTTTACATGATTCTCTTGTAAATCTAGCCTGGTGGTCATTATCTGTTTGTACAAATAGAAATTTTTGCAACATGGAATTAACTGGAAATATACCTGGGTTGCTTTACTATGAGCAGAGGAAGAAAAGTTAGGTAGAGTACCTAAGCCTAATGCACTGCTAAAAAATGTAAATCAAAGATTCAAAATAATGAGTTCTGTTCCAGAATTCAGAAACTTCCACTAAAGTGAACCATTGCATTTAAAAAAGAAAAAAAGGAGCCACTAGAAGCACTGTTACTGGAAGCATGGTTAGTCAGAGGTCTTAAATCCATTTAGCATTGTATACCATTTGACAGGATAAGTTTTTGTTTATGGACAGGAAAGCAAAAATAGAGAGTTTAATCCCAGGATTACATCTTGTATTTAAGTGCTAGAACATGTCTGCCTTTATCAGGAAACAACATAAGGGTTTATAGCAAAGGCAGCTGGTCATAGGTAGCCCTTCACAAGAGAAAGGAAGCCGTAATATACAATAATAAGAACTGAGATGAGTTAACCACTGACCTAAGAAGTAATTAGCTATTGTCTAAGTACCAACCGCACAATATGTTTCCCTTTATTTTGTGCAAATAGAATAGTTGTCAACCAGTTAACTGTATAGTTGGCAATTTTTTAAAACAGACTGTTTCCTTAAGCATCAAACAACTGTTGGCAGAACTGAGGGAAACAAGTGAAGGTTCAAAAAATCCTCTGGGCACTCAAAGTTACAAACAGAGAAGAAATTATGGCAGACAAAAAGTCCATCCTGACTTAAGAGATGAGAAAATGATGATGAAATGTTTTGGAGAAAATCACCATGTTGTGAACAGAAATAATGGGACCTTAATAGCAGTGAATGTAAGTTACAAGCTGAACATTTTGGAGGACAGTGATGCGATTCAGATCGCTGTCCTGAATTGAAGTGGCTGAATCGGCTTCAGAAGATTCAGCACTGACTTCATCATTCAGATCAGCTGGGGAGAGCCAGGTACAGCCGGGCAGCTGCAGATTCTCCCATGGCTCCTCTGGCTGTGCCTGTCTTTCCCCAGGTGGGGAGAGCCACAGGAAAAGCCCCCATGGCTTTCCTGCCTGGCCCTATCCTAGTCCTGGCAGTTTAAACAAACAAAAAAAAAATTAACTGAAAAAAGCCCCCCACCCACCAGCTGCAGGAGTGGCAATTGGGGTCTTCTGGGCACTCGTGGCAGAGCTGCCTCTGCACAGTGGGGGGCAGCAGGGATCACCCTCCCCACCTGGTGCAGGTGCAGTGCAGCTCAGCAGGGCACTGTGTGCTGTCTGGAAGCTGGGGCTGAGCGCTGCTGGGCTTTGGATGATGGCTGGAGCTGCCCCAGCTCCCAAGCAAATCAAACAGGGAGCTGTAGAATTGAGCCAGGGGCTGAACTTCCCCTCAGTTCCAGGTTTGATTCCCCAGGTCTCTGATCTTTCCCCCAGTTTTCTGATCACTTCCCCCAGCTCTTCCTGGGGGGTACAGGCAGGCCCCTGGATGATGCAGGATGACAGCAGGCTGCTGCCTGCTGGTGATGGCGGTGGTTCTGGGCTATTTCTGCAGCTGGCAGCAGCAGCCTGCTGAAACCCCACGCACAGATCCAGGGGCTTGCTTCCCCACCCCTACCCCTACCCCTGCTGAACAGCTGGGGGAATGATTGGAGCTGGGGAATCAAACTGGGAGCTCCAGCTGATGTCCGGGAGCTGGGGCAGCTCCACCCAACACACAGCACCCTGCCGAGCTGTGCTGCATCCACGCACCGTGGGGCAGCTGCTGTCCAGGTGGCGGGGGGGGGGTGATCCCTGCTGCCCCACACTACTCTGCACTGTATTGGGGGGGGGGGGGGCTCTGCTACGAGTGCCCAGAGACCTCGGTCATCACTCCTGCAGCTGGTGAGTGCAGGGGTTGTGTCTTTTGTTTTTTTTTTAGTGCTGGGAGTAGGCTGAAGCTGGGTGGGGGATGGGGCTGGGCAGTGCAGCTGTAGGGGCTTCTTTGGTAGCTCCTCTGGCTGTGCCTGCCTCTGCCCTTGCAGGGGGAACTGCAGGCACTCTCCTCTGTTGCCACTTGCCCAGCTGTCGCGGGCAGGGGGGACGAGGGGCACAATGCAGGCATGGCTCACTCCAGACAGCAGCAGGGCATAGCCCACACTCCCAATGCTGCCATGTCCGCATCAGCGCAGGGAGCAGTGACTGCTTTGTCACCACTTGCCAACTGGCACAGAGTGCAGGATGCAGGTGTGGCAGTGCTGGGAGCGGGGTCTATTCCATGCTGCCACTTGCCCCCTTCCACCTGAAGCAAGCTGCACCCACGGCCCACCCTCCAACCCCATGTGGGCAAGCAGCAGCAGGACAGATGCCATGCCCACATCCCATGCCCTGCTCCCTGAGTAACGCACCCCCACACTTTGGCTGGGCAACTTATCCCAGCCCCAGTCCCTCCCTCTCCCATGCCTCTTACCTCTCCCAATCCCAGCAGATTTACCAGCTGGAGACAGCTGCCAGCTGCCTGTTTAGTATATGGCTGAATCTCTGAATTGACCAAATCTTTTTCCGAATCTCTTTCTGAATCAATTCAGATGCTTCGAATCAATCTGGAGCTTTCAGTTGGCCTCCTGATTCAATTTTCATCTGGATATTTGGTCCCTGAATGGGGCCGAATCTTCTCTGAATCGAATCAGCTACTATAGCTTTGCTCAGCTGTATCAGAGATACAAGCTGCCCTAGCTTGGTTTAGGGTAAGAATGGGCACAGAAACAGTAACTGCAGAGCAGCTGAAGCAAGCAAAGCTGTGCCCACTTGACTTCAGGCACATAAATAGTTTCTGCTCTTTTCATAAAGACCTGCCCTCACCCCCTTCCACTCCCGGTTAAAAGTTCCTTGTAACCCTGTCCCAGGCTAGTTTTTCCCAGTTTGTGGTGTCAGTGCCATGGTTCTTAATGTTTACCTTAAGAGTATCCTTGACATGTTTCCTCTGGCTCCTGTGTGTCCTTTGTTCTTGGCAGTTGTTTTGGTATATGTACATCAGACATGCACACACAGGGCCCTGTCTACCGCAACTGATGTTGAATAATCAATGCTTCCACTCCAGCGGTGTTAGTGTGGGTGAGGACACTGGTATTTGTGCAATAATCTTTCCACTTTATGGCAAGAATCTTCTGGAGGCAGCACCGGTGATGGCATTCCAGGTCATTTGGAAGCTGGTCACTGTATACTTGTGCAAAGATTCAAGGAGATGCATATTAACTTCTGAAGAGCTGCATGTGGCTCTGGAGCTGCAAGTTGGCCACCCCTGCCCTAGAGTAATTACAGCCACAGAGGTCGTGTCCAGATGACCACGGCTGTACGGTATGTAGCGCTGCAGTCTTGTGTGTGTTGCTACTTACCATACAAGCAGGTGCTCCCTGCGCTGCTACCTTGCTTGGGGGGTGTTGATCCTGGGGCATCCTAGAGTCAAAAAACCCATGCAGAAAAAAACAGGGATATGTGGCAGCAGCATGCACCACCCAAAACCAGATCCTGGCTGGCCAGAGCCACACTCCAGCTGCTGGCCAGGCTCCCAGCTATGGAAGCGCTGTGACTGCAGCTTCTCTGCCCCCCAGAACCCCAGGTAAAGCTTCTGGGGCCAGCACATTTGCTAGTCCCCGCTTCCTCTACCCCACCTGGGGTAATCTGCCATGTGCCAGAGTGCATGTAGCACAAGAATTTCCTAGGGACAAGTAGCAGTGGCACAAGGTGTGCTGCTGCTGCTGCTGCTTGTTCCCAGGGAAACAAATGGCTGCGCTCACCTGGATACAGTCAGAGGTCATTACTGTGGAGTAACTGAAGCTCAGTAAAGCCCCTGCCCTGCCTATCTGGGGCACAAGATGGGGAATTAGGGACTTACTGAGTTTCAACCACGCTTATAACTTCCATAACCCCTAACTGCTGGGAACTGCTGTTTTAGAGCCTGAGACAGGCCCCCTGAAATGTAAATGTTTGTACAAGGAACTACTGTTGTTATACTCTAAGGGTGTGGATGCATGACATAATTACTAGGGCTGTGCGAAGCTTCGGTTCCTGATTCGATTCGGCCCAATTCAGTGGCCAAATCTCTGAATCCAGATCGAATCAGGAGACCCTTTAATCTCTCCTAATTGAATTGGAACCCTCCAAATCGGTTCAGAGAGATTTGGAAAGATTCAGCAATTTGGACATAGACACAGCTTTAAATGTTTTTTCTACATACTTCTAGGTAGCAGGTGGCTTGTGAATGCTGTGATGCTGGGGTGCATGGAGTGTCCTGCAGAAACGCAGGGGGCTCCCCAGTGCGCTCAGCAGCAGACCCAGAAGTGGACCAGAAGCACTTCCAGTCCACTTCCAAGTCTGCTGGAGAGCACAAGGGGGAGGCCCCCCTGTACTCCCTTGGCTCAGTGACTGGTGTCTTCTGGGTCTGAGGAGCACCCGGGGTCCCCCCCGTGGTTGATTGCCAAGCCAGGGGAGCATGGGGGGACCTTCTACACACTTGCTGGCGGATCTGGAAGTGGACCGGAAGTACTTTTGGTCCACTTCTGGGTTTGCCACCGAGCATATGGGGGGGGGGGGCCCACACTGCTGTGGGACACTCTGTCCGCCCCAGCATCACAGCATTCACAAGCCATGCTGGTACCTCAAGGTATGTAGGAAAAAACGTTTAAAGATGTGTGTCCCCGAATCACCGATTCTCTGAATCGGTATCGAATCTTCAGATTTGGATTCAGCTGAATTGAATTGGGAACAGTGATCCGAATCAACTAATCAAATCACTGTCCCTGATTTGGGCCAAATCAAATGGGGCCCATTTTGCACTCCCCAAATAATTAGTACACAAGTAACTACCCCAGTTTTTACTCTGTATCAAGAGCAGACTTGTGACCATCTCTAGCAAGATGGCTCCCTGCAGTAGGTGCTGTTTCAGTGTCTGGGCTCTGTGGGGCAGGGTAGCCTAGTTTCAAGCAAGTATCTTAGGATAAGTTTTGGTTAGGACGGTGACATGGATGGCTACTGCTCACCTTCTGAGGGGTAACTCTGTTGGAGTGGAGTGCCTTGCATGACCTTACACAGGTGTGTTACTCATACACTCTGCTTTTTACTACAGAGCAAGGTTACTTTATTATGAAACAGTTGTGTTCACACCTTTGGTGTCATTGCTATTCTTATTGTTGGGAAGGGCTTAATGCAGTTATGAAACAACTTGTTTTTAGGAAGGTAGGACCAGAAAGGAATTTCTGGGTCATGGCATGCTGCCCCTGTAATCATAGGCCACCACATTGTAAAATCCCTTTTATACTAATCAGGCTGTCTTAAAACCAGTTTTTTTTTTCCTTCTACTGCTCCTATTGGGAAGTTGTTCCAGAACCTTTCTCTTCTGATGGCCTAAACTTATTTGTGCTGAGTTTATACTGGGATGGGCAAAGTCCAGCCCATAGGCCAGATTAGGTCTATGGTGAACTTCACTTCCCAGCAGCCCCTGTCCGCACTGCTTTGGCTGGTCTCCATGGAGACTCCAGGTGCAGCGGGGCTGTGATGGCCCTGTTCTCCCGCTGTCTCCATGGAGACCTGTGATGAGCATGGGTCCCATGGGCAGGGGCATGCAGGCAGTAGACCGCCTCAAGGTCCTGGCCCTGGCCCCAGCCCCAGTCCTGGCCCTGGAGCAGCTACCCCCTCAGCTGCCGACCCTGCTGGTATGGGTTAGGGCTGCTGGGAAATGGAGTCTGACCACCAACCGGACCTGTCATTTTGCCCACCCCTGGTCTTATACCTATTTGGGTTTATGTCAACAGTGAACTTTTACACTTGAATAGCTCTCCTTTCTCCCTGGTGTTTATCTGTTACTGATAACGTTTATAAAGCTGTCGTTATTCCCTGTCAGCCCTTGTTCCCTTGCACTTAACAAACTAAGCTTATTTAGTCTCCTGATCCCTCCATTCCCCTTTCTGCACCAGTTCTAACTTGAATTCATCTTTCCTGAACCTGAATGTATGTTTCTGATCCCAATAGTCCAGATGATGTTGCGCCAGTGGCATGTATAATGTAATGCTTTCCATCTCTATTGGACTTGCATCTCCTGATCTGGCATAGGGCCACAGGTGTCTCTCTTTTCATGGCTATGTCAGATGTGGCTTGTCTGATTGATAGTCATTCTGTAATTGATTTTGTACATCCAAGTCTTTCCCCTCCCTGTTTCCAGCTAATGAGCCTTAGCTTATAGCAAAAACTTGTGATCGTGCCTGTCGTGTTACATTTCATGCTATTTCTGTTTCTCTAATCTCCAAAGACATTCAGGTCATCACTGGTGCCTTAAACCAGGGGTGTCAGACATATGTGCTGGATTTAGTTTATAGAGATGTGTCATCTGGACTGTGGGGCTCCTAGAATTTTGGGGCAGGGCACGGAGCCTTGTTGGAGGCATGTGTCAGTGGTAGGGGACAAGGAATGGCTGCGTTGGCCCCCAAAGCTGCCGATACTTACTCCACTACCGCCGGTGTGTCTGGATCCCACCTGCAAGGAGCCGTGTGGTCTGGATCTGTCACGTGGGGGAAGGGGTCAGTTCATCACCCCACCTTTTAAGCTAGTGTCATTAATAAATTTCACTAACCCTCCCCTACTTCTTACCTAGAAGTCATTAATAAAAAATATTTAATAAAATTGGTCCCAAGACACCAACTGCAGACTTCCTTAGCCTGATGAAGGGTTTTTAAGTAGTTGGAAATTTTTTTTTGCAAGCTTTCAGGTTTAAGTTGGTGTAATAAAAGATATCAGATTCACCCAAAGAACCTTGTCTGCCTGTGTCCTTAGATCAACATGGCTACATCCTACACCCCAGTCCCAAGATTGTTATTTGAGGAACTCCATTAGTAGCTGCCCTCCAGCCTGATACTTCACCTTTCAGAGACTATGGACAGATGTGCTGTATGAAGCACTCCGAAGTGCTTTTGCAATACTCCAAGCAGTGAGAGTATACATCATAAAATGTGGGCCTGGAGGCAACTTCTGGAGATCATCTAGTGCAGTGGTTTTCAAACTTCCAAAAGTCACAGAACTCTTTCATATCACTTCTGCTGCAGAACTCCTACCTCTGTCCTGAAGATTGACGTGGAGCCAAGTGACCTGGCTTGGCGCTTGGGTTGTACGCTGCCATTACCCCCGCTGTCTTTGTGAAACCCCTGATAACCTGTCGTGGAACATGGGGGACGGTTTGAAAAGTGCCTGTCTAGTGCAATTTGTTATCCATCTCCAAACCATTCCATAGAAGCCTTTATCTAACTTATTCCTAAAACAACACAATTAACCCTGTAGCACAACTGTTTACCTCTATATGTTGGCTAACATACAGCTGAATTATTTGCAACACATCTCAGTTATTTTTCTGTTTTGAACGGTAAGGTGTAGGGGATACAGAAGAAAGAGCTCTAAGATTTTGCAGTCCAACTAACAGGAGTTCTGGGAAAACAAACTGACCTCCCCACCCTACCCGCCACCATGAAATGTGCCTAGCCATTCCTTAGCAGTGGTGATCGAAAACATTAAGCGTAAAATTTGCAATCCTGGCCCATCTGCATCCCCCTTTCCCTGTACATTGAGGCAACTTAAAAAATCAGGAAATTTCAAGGATATACGTTATAGGAGCCTTGGGTGGGGAGGATGTTAATTTGCCGTCTACTATTGGAATCTTCTGGTCTTGTACATTCACGCTTCTTTCAGCGACCACAAGGGCCAAAAAGGCCTCATTAAAACTTTGAGATTCTCTAGGAATATTAGAGTTAGAGTTTAAGCAACACCATATATGCCAAATTGTGAGGGTTTGTAATGCCATAGTTACTGAATTTTGGTCAGATTCAGGATTTGTACTGGCAAAGGAACGTAATGCAGAGTAACATAGGTGCAATAAAAATCATTAGAGGAAGTACAGAGAAGAGATGATGATTGGGTGGGCAGCAGCTAGCCACCAAGGTTAAAAACTCGCAGCTTGGCCAGGAATAGAAGTAATGATTCAAGGTATCTACCAGAATGTAACATTCAGAAGTGTGGAAGCTACTGAGGGTAGTTGAAAGACAAACAAACAACAAGGATTAATGGGATCAGTTAAGGAAGAGGGTGTCCAGGCAGAATGTCAGGAATGTTGCTTTGTGTGGAGATCCATAAAGCTACTAAGATTAAACTCCTAAGGGACTGGGTGAATGTTAGGGGAAAAGTAGACAATACACAGTTTTCTCATGGCTGGAAACACTTAAAATTATTTTAAATACAGGCACTATTTTATAAGCTGTAGCTCTTAAATGGACATGCTTTTGGCACTAACATTCACTAGATCATTAATGTACTTACAAACTGAATGTTATGGGTTTTTGTTTTATAGGAATTTTTTTCCAAGAAGTCAGATTGTTCTTTGTTTATGTTTGGTTCGCACAACAAGAAGAGGCCTAACAACTTAATAATAGGTATGAAAAAAAATGTAATTTCTTCCTTCCCCACTTTCCCTAAACAGAATGAAAGAAACAGGGCTTGAAAATAAATGTCTAAAGCAGTGGTACACAACCTCTGATCTGCAGGCCAGATCTGGCTTGCTGGGCTCCCCCCCTGAAATTTGGTAACAAGGGAGCAGTGACAGCTGCTCCCATATTGATTAAATGTCCAGACCCATGGACTGGATGATATGGCCCTACAGGCTAGATTGCATTGATGTGCAGTCAGTCTGCAGCTGCATCCAGTGCACAGGATTGGGCCAGCATTTAGCTGGTTCTGGAGCATAGATTCAGGATGGTGCAGTAGATCACATGTGTAGACTGCCCCCCCTCCCCTGATTCTGACTTGTGGATTGACCCCAAGCCACCGCTCTGGTCTCTCATCTGGCTCATGGGCCCAAATAGGTTAAGTACCCCTGGGCTAAAGCAATTTTTTTTTTCTTTTTCACAGGCTGCATGTTTGATTATCACGTCCTAGATATGATTGAGCTAGGCATTGAGAAATTTGTCTCTTTAAAAGAGATTAAGGTAAGATATTGAATGCAGGCACTCTAGTGACATCTGTTGGTGAGCTTTTCTGTTGCATCTCCCACATGTATACATGAAGTATAAAAGATCATTTTAAAATACTAACTCAGACTGCCAGGATTAATGTGTGGAAGTTCATCTTGGTATCTTATTTCTGTCCTCTGTACATGTGTATGATCACCATTTGGTTCCTTTGAAAAGTTTTTGCTATAGGTTTGGGCTGCTTCCAACATTTAGGTGAAAATAGGATCTTTGTAAAAATGTATTTAAATCAGATTATCTTAATCAGATTCTACCAGTGGATAGTCCTTAAAGTTATTAGGGGCACCAGTAAGGCTGGAATTCATCTCTTCAGCCAGTGATTTTCTTTTTTTTTTTTATAATATATGTGCAATACTTCAAAGGCTTTTCTGGACCTTCAGTTATGCACAAACCCTGATTTTCACAGAGCACCTGCAGTTGACTGTTTTACTCCTTACTTCATACATGCATTAGAACAACATATTAATCTCTAGCTAAAGGAATTGTAGCACCTCTTCTTGAAGCTCGTAGACTTGCATATGGAGCACAGACACTCCACCTGCACCAAAACTGGTTTGAAAATATCCATTCTGTATTTGCACTAATATAATTCGGAGACTACAGAAATTGGCAGCTGCTTATTTACAGCTTCAGAACGGGTGATAATGGAATAGTCCTCTTACGTAGCAAAGAAAATTTTAAAGGTGAACTCTCTCCACTACAGTGTGGTAATATTTTTTTTTTTTAAATATATTTTCATAATTATTTATGCAGCAGGGAAGTTGTAGTCCACTAGCAGTGAGTTGGTATCAAACCCAGCATTTGGTAATGGGTTGAATGCTCTGTTAAGTTTCTTCCACGTCTTTCTCAGTGCAAGAAATGCAGTGTGCTTTCTTGTGCTTTGTGTACTAGTAATCCCAAGCCAACAAGCTTCCTCCAGCACTTCCAATATAGTGTTTCTTTCACTATCTAACTCATCTTACAATTGGGGACCTTTGTCTTATTTGGCCTTAGACACTACTCACCTATTCAAAGGACCCACAAAATTCCAAATACAAGTACAGTGTATAAATTTGAAATGATACCCACCCCTATATGTGTTTATCAGAAGTCAAAATGGCACAAAATGGAATGTGATCTGGTCACTTAAGCAAATAACATGCTGTATAACCTTGTTTGAATATTTGTTTGTTTTTGTATAAACAACATGTCCAATAGAACAGCAAGTGTCCTGAAGGAACAAAACCCATGTTAATATTTGCTGGTGATATGTTTGACTTAAGTGAGGAGTACAGAAGATTAAAAAGCCTTCTCATTGGTGAGTATTTTAAATAATAGGGTTTCAGCAGTTGTACTGCATTAAGCAGTGACAATGTTATGTAATGAGAAGTGGTATTTTGCTAGTATTGCTCAACATGTACAAAAAAGTACAGAAATATCTAGCGTTAATTGTACCTGTTCACTTTAAATGGTATACATTTGTATAAACAGGTACACGCAGGTTTTTCTCCAAGGCTAGAAAGTACTGGAAAAGTTAATTCTGATGAGTATCCCCTTAAGTATATTTGCCTGGCGTTGGTGTTTGTATACAGATGGATGCAAGAGGCAGACAGAGGTCTGAACTGTAAGGAGTTGCGTGTCATGCTGTAGACAGGTGCCAGGTAACTGAACAGTTGGTCTTTTGCATTTATATTGTTACCCATTTGGATAATTTCAGTTCTCCAATTTAATTTGCCTTAAGTTGTCTGGAGCCACATGTATTTAAGAGATGCCATACTGGGTCAGACCCCAGGTCCATCTAGCCCAGTACTTTGTATCTCTCAGTGGCACAGACAAGGCACTAATGGGGAAAGCATTTATGCAGGGCCTGTCCTCCCTGATCTGTTCCCTGCCCCTTGTCCCTTATAGCTTTCAGCATTTAGAGGCCTTGAGAGCCTTATTTTGAAGGTCGCAGCCTTACTGATATAGCGCTTAAATATGCATCCAATTTTTCTTTTCCTGCTGAATGTATGGCAAGTACACACCAGATGTCTTGGTGTTCTGTTGATTCCCATGAGGCATCTAGAGGCCAAACAATAGGTGGAGGAAAGGTTCAGCCGTGTAACAGGACACTGATAACATTGGATAATTTACATTTTATAACTTGGCCTCCCCCAAAACTCCTACGATGTAATAGGGAGTAGCTGTTTCTTCCTGTTCCTGAGAAATAAAATGTTTTTAATCCCTGACTCTTGCTACGAAACCTAGCAAGATGTCACTGCTGTTTTAAAGACCCTGTTGTTACAGTGTTGCTGAGGTCCCCAAGGGAAAACGAGTTATCTGATGATCTCTTGTTAACAAAGCTGTGTGACATTACTGACGTTCATGGTAAACAACTCAGTTTTTGTTGGTTTGTTCTGTGAAAAGGATTCGTGCATTCTTGGGCTGTCATGTGAAGGTGGTCTTGTGTTGTACAAGTCATAAGCAGAGGGAATTAATGTGCATGTTTTGTGTAACTGACCCTTTGAAATCCACTTAACAGTTTGGGGACACTTTATTTGGGTGTATATAAATGGCAACTATACTTTTCGCTTCTAAACAACCCCTACAGGGAAAAAAAATACCGTTTTTTATTTTATTTTTCCTCTTGTTCCCATAAAAAGTGTCTTAATATTTTTTGTGTCATTGGGCTTTCACTGGCCAGTTTTATGATGGTATTAAGAGCCCAGTGATTTCCCTGCCCCCGCATCCCTCTTGAATTGCAGCCACTGAATCTCCTGTTCTAGTAGCCTCCTGAGCACATGGCTCATAAAATGTTTTCCTGCTCATTGAAACATCGATCGGCACACTCGTTCCTTAATGTCCCCTATTTACATATTAAAAACTGCCCAATTATTGAGTCCTGACACATTTTAAAAAATTGGGGTTTCTTGGCAGCCAGGCTGCCAAGAAATCTGAACATCTTTGAGGTGGATCTTTGTATTTCTTCTCCATTCTACCATTTCTGTGCATGTTATTAGGATCTAGTATCTAGAGGTACAGGGCTCAGTCAGGATCTTTTGATGCAAGTGTTTGAGAAGTGTTTTATATAGGGGATAAAAAGAAACCCAGAATGAGCATTCCAGCCCCTGGTCCACCAGTTGCAGACGTTATCTCCAGCAGCATTTGTGCTTTTCAGGCAAGAACAGTTGCAGCTACTATACAGAGTAGGCAGATTATAATTTATTCTTTAATACATTTCAAGCCTTTGAAAACAAAATGGAGGTTCTCAAAAGCCCTCTGCAATGGATGCTTAATCAGAAGGCCTGGAAACACACTAAGCACATGCTAAACGTGTGGCAAGAACTAAAAAAATGAGGTAAGGAAGGTCTCCAGTCCAGCCAAAGTACAGGCTGCCTCAAAATTAAGATTAAGCCAAATGTTTCAAATTCATAGGGTTACAAAGAGGAAAACATTCTGCAGCTGGTGGATGTCATAGAAACAAACTTTTCCCTGCCTGGATTTGGATGGCAGGGAAAAGATTATTCTGTGGGTAGAAAGCTATGGGCTACCACAAAAAAGACAGTTTGCCAGGAAAAGCATTGTAAATATAACTCTGCCTGCTAAGAGAGCTCTAGTCTTAGCTGCAGCCTGGGAAAATATACGCAAAAATAAAGAAAATATTCTACCAATGACTTTTTCCCTAGATATGAATTCAGTAACCCAACAAAGGAAGAATGAGAATATGCAATTGACCAAGAATTTCTTGGCTAAACTCCAGGTTATATCTGCCAATAAAACTTTGCTTTGGACATTGGGTCAGTGCTGATACTCCTGAAAATGATAATTGAGGAAGTGACTGAAAAGGAAATCTTTAGAAAATAACCTGAATGGGAAACTTGAAGGGAAGTGAGCCCCGTGTTTTGCAGCCTGTTAGCATTTCCCCTGTTTTGAGTATTTATCGTCTATGTTTTTTATTAACACACCTCTAGGGACAAGGTCACATTCTTCTTCCACCGTCCACAGATGATGGGCTCATTTGACGTTCGTGTTGTATGTTAACTTCCCTCGCACTGTTTTTCACAGTCCTGCTATGAAAACTGTGCTGGAGGCCACTAACTGTTGGTTAACTAATATCTAAAATTCCTGCTTGAAAACTAAGCTGCTTTTTCATGTAACTGATCATACTTAATTTGTCTGTTTGAACAGTGTACATTTAGTAAAAAATGCTTGATGCAGTAATGGCAGGTTTCTTTCGCTTAATGGTGCTGTATTCAACAGGGTAGTGAAATAGAAAGTTTTATAATAAGCAAGTCTTGTATAATAATACAGTAAGTACAGTAAGAATATTATAAACAGTGGTCAGTAAAAATCTATCAGTAACACTAAAACAGTAACCTTTGTTTTGTGCATTTTTACCTCGTATTGATCTGTGCCATTGTCCTAACTGCTGGCTTTGGTGCCAGAGTTGTTTGAATCAGTCAGTTTGTCTGACAAACTCTTAACCTAACCAGATGTTCTTTTCTGTACTACAGAATGCATACGTAACCATGAGCTTGTTTGAACAGTTGTGAGATGCATTTCATTTTTCTAAGTTTGTAAATGAAACTTTAAAAGAGTGGGTAATTTCAGACAACTAAAATTGCTACTTCAAAAGATATGTACCCGTTTGCTATTGAAACAATGTCCATATATTTATCTCCTTTTAGTTGTCAATTGTTTTCTTTTTTTTTAACTAGGTTCAGGAGTTTTCATTGCTAGCAGAGTACTGTCTGGAAAGTTGATACTTGTTTTCCAGTACTCTGCACATCCCCAATGTTACACCTCTGAGCAGTAGCAGTGAGCTTTTTCAGATGTGGGATATGCTCAACTTGACATGTATTTTGGCTTCAAGTAATAACTCGTAGATGTGGACTACAGAGACACTTGTTACATTCAGTGATTCTAAAAAAAAAGCCAAATCTGCATCTACTTTTGCTTTGGAATATTTAGAAAACACCAGTCAGTCTGAGTTCCATCTGGTATAATGGAGATCCATTATCAAATTAGCATCCTCTTATTGTGGTCCTATGGTTTTGGTCTTGTTTGTCTCAAGAAGACACCTGGCGCATTCAGTATGTTTAAATATTGTTTCAGACTTCTTCAGGGGTCCTACCGTGCCCTATGTTCGCCTGGCTGGATTAGAACATGTTCTGCATTTCACAGCTCAGGATGGGAAAATTTACATGCGAAGCTATAAGTAAGCCTCCTTTTGCTTTTGTACACTTAGATTGTCTAACATGAACCTTGATTTCATTCTACACTACAGTGACCTTGTGCCGTTTAGGCCCAGATCTTAGCTTGTGTTGTAGGCACACCTCATCAGATACTGACTGTGTATACACATCTAGCTTGTTAAATTCTCTCCTAACATGCTTTATTAAAATTGTACTTCATATCAGCGTTCCCTCTAACCTGCATGGTGTGTGTGGCCATGGCCACGCACACTGCACAGCTTAGAGGGAGTGTTGTTTCATAGCTTCTCATTCTCAAAAGTTCTCAATTTCACGGGTCATGCCTGAGGTGCTTTTCTGTACTTAGTCCGAAAAATATCTAATGCAACATCACAGACCTAATCTAAATTTAAATTTAGATTAATACATAAGAGGCCAAATTAATTTTGAAACAAACTGAATTCACAGTGTTGATGCCTGGGTAGTTGTTTGGAACAGGCTTAGGCAGAATAGATGTTGAATGCTCTCATATTATGATCAAACAGATCTGTAAAGTCATGTTTAACTACACTTAGTCTGCTGACAGACATGAAAAGAACAAAACAAAACAACAACCATGCTTTAACCTGGAAGAGTTTAGCGCATTAGATCAACCAGGCTCTGCAGCTTCTGTATAGATTGGGCGCTTCAGTGGGGCTTTTTTGGCGCTTTTATCTAATAGCTGATTGAATTCAATTTGGCTTCTTATGATTCAATCAGCTATTAGATAAAAGCGCCAAAAAGCCCTGCTGAAGCACCAGACATCGGGCAAGCTGGGTCAAACTAATGCAGTGCCTCTCCTGGACACGCTCTGGGCTCAGTGCAGGGGCATGCAGAGTTTAAAGTAAAGCACCGTTTGTTTTTTACGTCTGTAAGCAGCCATAGTGCAATGTATTTTCTGAACAAAAAATTGAGCAGTAGCACCTGTTCATAAAGGCTGAATTCTCTTCTGCAGGTCAGAAAATAGTTGGAAATTATTACAAATTAAATGAGTGGACAATATTCATTTTTTTCCCCCCCCTTCTCTAGAGTATTACTGAAGAAATCAGGCTGTAAAATACCAAGGATTGAATTAGAAGACATGGGACCTTCATTAGATTTGGTGATGAGGAGGACACATTTGGCTTCAGATGACCTTTATAAGTTATCTTTAAAACAGCCTAAGGCACTCAAGGTACTTAAAACTGGTCTTGTATACAAAAGACATTATACTGCAACTTGCACAATCTTTAAGTCAGAACAAGTTTTAAAGTTAACCATAAAACAGATGCAGGGCTGGAAGCATTACCGCATTGTAAATTCTCTAAAGAATCATAGCTTTCTTGGATCAACACCCCAAAGCCCATGCCATGACATTGATGGTAGGGAGTGGGGTAAAGATGTAGTGGGGTAAGAGTTGGAAATCCTTAATTTAATTTGTACATTTCCACTTCAGGTGCCTTTGCCTTGAAGGCTTGGGAATTCTGTGATAGTGATATCTGCTGTAATCATTTGATGACTAAATGGTCTTTATTAACATTCATTTTCTCTTACAGCCAAAGAAGAAGAAAAATATCTCCCGTGATGTCTTTGGTACGACCTATGGTCGAATCCATATGAAGAAACAGGATCTTGGTAAATTACAGACCAGGAAAATGAAAGGGTTAAGGAAGAGGCCCGCAGAGCGGATAACTGAAGACGGTGAAGGGATTAGTCCAAAGAAAACAAAATCAGCTTGATAGGATGGAATAATTCTGGGGACTTTTGCAACCATCAGTTCTCACTGTATTTCTCACAAAGTACGTGGCAGAGACGGACCTTTCTGCTGCTATTTTTTTTAAAAGCCTTGTAAATATTTTTTTAATGCAACTTCATATACAAATGGATGTGCGGTCTCAGGCTTTAACATACAACCAGAGTATTAAAAAGGAAGTAATCTGACATGATTTATCAGGCTTCAGCAAACTGAATAAACGTATCTGGTATCATCATCAGAAGAGATAATTCAGTTGTGTAGTAACAGACAGCATTGTGGGTTTTTATTCCTGGGACACGGGTTGAATTAGGCTCATCACATAAACTCTATTCTGGAATTAAGTGTAAATAATTTTCTTATTGACTTACGCTTTCATCTTATGTTAAGTTTATTTAGACTCCCAGATAACTTGGAGTACCCCTCTCTCTAACTTAATAAACTAAGTTGTCTTCACTGTGTGTTTCATAAAAGAGAAACAATGTCAGCATTAATATCTGCTTGTTAGCTGTCTCCTTGTTCTCTCCTCAAATGCCACTTATTTGAGGTGTTTATGCTACTTTCATCACCATAGTATTGAAACGCATGATGCTCACCTTGAGTATAAATGAGACCTTCAGGATTTTAGTTTCTGGTATGCAATCCTTTGTTTCATTTCCACAAAGACTGGAAGTGTCAAAACCAACTTAGTCTCTGGTTTTTAATCTTAGTATTTATACCATTTTCCTTGCCATACTTGAGTGCCAGAAAGAGATTACTAATGCAGCAAAGGTTTGACTGCTTTTTTCCTCTATCTTCTCATGGCTTTGAGAGCCTTGTTCTACTAATACTCTTACAAAACAAAATCTAAAGTTGTTTTCCACTTAAGCTGGTGCCAAAGCCTTATGTAGCAAGCTAGTGAAAAATGCTCAAGGCTTAATGAGGTAGAAGTTAGAATATAGCAAGTGAAAGTTCTTGTTAAGTACAGCCAGAATTATATATTGTTTCATAACGAAGCTTGTGTCTTCCTGTATTTTGGTGTGTGAAAAATAACTAGCTATCTTTTTCGTTCTCTTAACTTCCGGTATTTGGGAGAATAGGGGCAAGACCATTACTACATGTTTGCATAATTATAATGAAAATGTCCATTATAGGCACTAATATACATAGTCTTATTAGTGTGAGCATTCCTATTTTGAACCCAATGGAAATCTGTGTTTGCATCTGTTTACATTATTTAGTATTCACTCTGTTGCTGAGCTAACTAGCACATAGTTCAATCTGAATACCATATCAGAAGGCTTTTACTGCAATCTGCAAATCGCATGCACTTTGTTGTTTTGTATGCATCTCCACTAGAAAAATTAGACCCAATTTTCCAATGGCTTGTTCTTCTAGTAGTTATAGTGCAGGCCAGATACAGAGGCTGTTTAATCTTGGGCTAGAAGAGGGATAAAAATGTCTGCATCCTTGCTGCCCAGAAGTCTTTACTCTTTCCTCCTTAAGTGGAAGAATGTCCCTAGTTATCCTATCATAGATGCACCTTTAAAGTTTCTTCTGCTGTCCTGTCTTAAGTCTTGACTAATTCTGTAACAATGAGTAAAAGATCTGAAGTATCTTAAGACTGTAGTGAAGGCAAGCATGATTATATTATACATATAGCCCTAAAGGTCATAACTTCAATTTGTGTTGTTTTGTTTACTTTGAGCCACTTTAGTCTCTGTAATCTACATACGTGTGCTTGAAAAATTACTAATAGTCTGAGTTACTGCTCTATTTCATTTTCTTCCCCTCGAATGAAAATATTCCTACCCTCTCAACTGGAGGCTGTGTCAGGAGCTATCTTGAAGGGAATTACAAAACAGGACATAATTGTGTTTTCTTGCATGCCACACATCCCTAAATAAGACATGGTTGTTGTAGGAAGGCAAAATGAAGAAAAAGGTTTTCAGAGTTATAGCTGCATAGAGCATGGACATTAGCCTAATCTTCATCTTACACTGCCTTTGCTGCTCAAGGCAAAAGCTAAAGTTTTTAACCTTTTCAGAGCTGAATTGTTAGTCGGTCTTGGCTGCTCAACCAAAACCTGAAGCTGCTGCTGCTGAATATTGGACTGCATGGACAGATCTAGGATTTTGCAGAGCTGTAGGGCTGTGAAATAGAAAAGACACCTGGAGAAGCTAACAGAAAATTTCAGAAGAAAGAACAGCTTGATAAGTGGAACATCAAGTTCATGAGAAGATGAGGATTATTAACACCCATGGAATGTAGAGAGTTTTTCAAGAATTACATAGATTATAATGCAGCATGAAGTAATTGATTCCACAGAACTGCCTGAATAGAAATGTCACTGCTGCTGTGGAGCAGTTGATTTTAAACTTGGGTGGAGCAGGAATCAATGGGAAGGTATAAGCACACCACTGCACCCTAGCCCCTGCCTTCTCCCCCTTCCTCCATGCACCAGCTGGAGGAAAGAGAAGGAAAAGCAGCAGCAGCTATCTTGCAGCATGTCCATGCTTCTATTCTGTGCAGAAAATTCGTGTCAGACATTTCCCAGTTTTGGAAAGCTAATTGTTGGGAGAGAGATGCATGTGGTATGCAGGTTTCTCTTACAGTGCTGCTAAACCCCAAATAATCTTGAGCTTTTTCTAAACACAAATTTGTATTGAAATAACTGAATATATTTAACAATTTTTGTTTTAATACAATTGTATTAACGAAGGTGGGAATCCAAACGTTATTATTTTGGGGCAAGCCCCAAGACAATACCAGCAATTGCCGGGGGGGAACCCTGAGCAGATCAAAAGCGACTACAGGATTTGTTCTGTATTTACAAATCTTTCCATAGAAAGCAGCAGAGCCTCCCTAGCGTTGTTTTCCTGGTAGCCAATATGAACCACCTTGGTTTCCCTTTAGGAAAATAAAACAATATTAACAATTGAGCTGTAAATTTTCCCACCCTTCCTTGAGTGGTTTTAACCTCCGTGCTTAGCACTGATTTAAATGCAATGTTGATAGATATTGATTTCAAATGCATAGTATGTACCTCTGACAGTGAGCTACTGCACTTTCAGCTTCTGACTTTCCATGAGGTACATGGAGGTAACTAGGCTAAATATTAAGCATTCCAGCTATATGCCTTTAGCTTCAGCAGTTCCTTAAGGTGTGGGGAAGCTTGGTGAATACTGCAGCTCTGGTCTCTTGTGTAAGGAACAGAACACACTGTTCTTAAAACAGGGCTGTGAAAATTGGGCACTGTCTTGCCTTAGCTGCCTCTGCTCCCAAAACTAATCTTGCATCTTAGAACATGTAAATGTGACTGCTGGGTCAGTGCCACATGGAGGGAGCCGTTAACTAGCTTTGTCTCCCTGTGCTCTTAATTGGAAAAAGCAACTAGGTACAAGGTAGCTTGTATGTTCATTTCTCTCCTCTCATCTAATCTTACCTCTTCACAGCACACTGTGGTACTTACAGTTTCTGAAGGCAGAAGAGTTGTGTCTTGAAGAGAATTCATGCTGGAACAGCATATTCTGAGAGAGGAGCTAGATATATCTAAATAACAAAACAAAGTGCAAAGAAAGGTGTAGTTGGGCACATTCATGCTAGCTTTTATCTAACTAGCAGGGATAACAGTTGCAGTGAGGATGTGGATTAACAACAGGACCACAAACCTTTTGGGGACCCTGAGTAGGTGTCCTGGTTCCTTGATTATGTTGCCACATCTTTATTGTTACTGTTACCTAGGATAACCAGATAAAATCCAGCTTGGGCATGTGCACTCCCAATACCATCTTTCACTATCTTTACTTTGTTAACATACCCTGAATGGCATGATGAGGCAGATGTTAAGTCACCTGACTATGCATTCCAGTTTTCTATGCTTCTCTCAGTTTTGGGGGCCAGTCCTGGGCCATATTACTGATTACAGGATTCCCAGTTTTAGTTCTACCCTAGTATGAGGGTCAAACAGTTCAGGTTCTCTGTGTGTGACTTTGTTTACACAACAATAGCCAATGTCCAATCCATAATATCATACATATTTGCAAGGGTCAAATAGTTTTCCATCAGGTAGGATTTAGCTCCGTTTGGATCTCGGTTGATGCTGATGTATCCCTGAATCCCAAAGACATTTTTGAAGGTAGCATACTTCTATCAAAGGCCAGTTCTATTAAGAATAGTAAGAAAGGAGGCCAGTCCAGTCCCCAGATACAGGAGCAACAGCTGTGTCAGTAGAGACCCTGCAAGTTCCTTTGTGCAGACAGCATGGCAAAAATAGATGAGGTGAGAGCCTGAGGAAGCCAAGGCTGGGTTGTATCAGGAAAAGCAGCAGGTGGATCTTTGTGGGGCTCTGTAGGGAGGAGCCTGGAAGAAGCCTGGGGTGTTTGTGGGGGATCATGCAGGTTTTCTTCTGTTTGTTTTACTGATGTGGCATATGCGCCATCCTGCAAAGTCATTGTCATTTATATCACTTGTCTGTATGAATGATGCTCTGGTTGTATAAACCTTTGTGATTTTGGCTATGGTTTAGTCAAAGGAACTGAGGGGATGCATGCTTAAGGAAAAGGGAGTGGGCTAAACTGCTAAGTATCTCTTGTCATTGTATTACTAGGGCAAGAACGATTGCCACTCCCAAACACAGGCAGAAATAATACCTAAGGTATTATTAGGTATTATTTGCTTGTAGTGGGAAAAACAATTCCACAATGGCTACAGAATCTCAGAGCAATGGATTATTAGCTAGAGCATTGATTCTCAACCTTTTTGGTACTCAGCCCTATTTGCAAAGATTGATGGCTTGTCCTGACCTACACCCCCTGGCCCTGCTGGTGCCTGACCCACAGTCCCCCTGCCCCCACATCCCATGGCAGCCTCAGCACCCAGCTGCCTTCCCCCAGTGCCAGCAGGCACCTTCCTCCCACCCCACCACCACACACGCCCATCCTCCCCACCCTGACAGTCCCAAAGCCCTGGACTGCCAACTGCCACTCCCCATATACTTACCTTCATCTGGCTGCTGGGGCTGCTCCCATGACCTTGTCTAGCTGCATGTGTGGGTATGCAGTGGTGGGCTAGGTGGTAGCCAGATGAAAGGGTAAGAGTAGTTGTCTTTTTTTTTCTGTCTTCAAACATGTTGTCAAGGTTTTTGGGGTTTGTTTGTTTTGTATAATTGTTTTTTCTCTTATACAATAAATCCTTTTGCTGTGTTATCATAGAATCAATGAGTCGGAAGGGACCTAGACAGATCATCTAGTCCGACCCCCTGCCATGGGCAGGAAGGAGCACTGGGGGTGGCAGGTGTCATAAGACCCCAGCCAGGTGCCTATCCAGTCTCCTCTTATTGTCTCCTTACTGATTGCCTGTGGTAGAGAATGATCTCAGGGCAAATGATATTCCAACCTCACCCATTCTATGAAAGGGGGACCTAAAATAGTTTCCCTTGTGTTGTGAAAGGATCTGGAGCTGGCAGATATTCCCCAGTTGTAGCTGTGAGTTCTGGTATAAAGGCACTGGGACTGAGGCTTATGCAGGGTGATAAATTATCCCGGGGCAAGCCTTGGTCTGTTCCTTGGGACAAGCAGCAGGACAGCAGGGAGAAATGGGAAGCTCTAGGGGCACCCAGCAAATGGGTTTTTGACTATGTTGCTTCCCTTTTCCACTTGGCCAGTGATTTCAGCTTCTTTGTGTTTCCTTTTGTGCTTTCCTTTGTTCCTCGATCAGTGACATTAGTTCCTTCTTTCAGACCTTTTATCAAGTTTCAATTTTGCCAAGCCACCTAAAAAGAACTGGACTGTGTAAAATAACTAAACTGGGGACATTCTATGGAACTACAAAACAAAAGAGCTGGTTTAAAACATGTATTGCTATCTCCCTCTCTTCCTCCTCTCAAATCTGAAGATTTGATCTGATGCTGATTCGGATATGGGCAGAGCTTTAAAAGTGTTTTTTCTACATAGTTTGAGGTAGCAG